AACACACGTAAATTAGAAGCACTTTCAGGCCCATTTTCTTGTTCTGTCCCAATGTAACTGACTGAGGGCACTTAATGCCTGCAGCAGTAATCCAGCCTCCCCCTGTGCAGGTGACAATTTTTAGTGCCGCCCGTGTGTGGGCAGACACCCGGCTGCATGCATTTAATTGGGTAACGCCACTCTGGCTGAAAATACATTTTAAAAAAAAGAAAAGTCATTTCAGTTTTTTCTCTTCTTTCTCTTCCCAAGTTTGTCACAAACAAAAAAGGACAAGAAAAGTGATGGCAACTGGGTTATTAATAATACATAGTTAGCAACTGATTAATTCGGCTTCGTGTGCTGTGCAAGGAAGACTGCACTGTTCGGGCTATTGTTTTATGGGAACTGAGACCAGATATCATATGTCTGTTACAAATGTTAGGCACAAAATTAAACACCCACACACACTAAAGGACCATCAACACAGTGGGAAGAATTATTAATTTTGCAAGCAGAAAAGTGACAAAGCAGAGGAGTGATAAATGCTCCAGATAGATCCAGAGCTCCAATTTAACGCACACGACAAGGCCCTCTTTTCACAAGTAAAGTCTCCAACTCCTGCCGTGTTTTAGACTTCTCCATCATTTAGCTGTGCACATATTTGGCATTTAGAGTGTGACGGATTTACACATTTGCTACCAAATGAGCTGCAAGAGCTAATCAGCTCACGCAGAATTGCACATATTAATGAAGAAGGCTCTTCTGCATGCCTGCGATGTAGACACCCACTTAACTGGGGCACCAGAGACTAATTTGAAAAGATTTTGTTCACGTAGAAGCCTTTTTCCTATGATGAATGCTTGGAGGGAACTGTGTTGTAGACAGGGAGGGAGCAGTATCTGCAACATCTGACTAACTGGTACTCATTACTGAGTGATTCAAGAGCAGTAGGAAGGATAAATTATTAGTGGCCAAAATCTAATGAGAATAATTAGCACTGTGATGCTTTCTAAGCAGGCATGCACAAACCGTTCCTTAAGGAGCACCATCCCCTGCAAGAGAGGCAAGTACTCTGGGCAGGACAGAGGAGATCCAGGGCACGAATCTTACAAACCAAGGACCAATTCGTGCAGCTGAGTGGTAACACCTGGACATCCTCCTACCTTTAATTATGAGCTGGCACAGGAGTAATGATTGCTTAAATTTGAGGCTGACACCTTTTTTTTTTTTTTTTTCCCACCCAATGACCTCGAAAACAGCTACAGCAGGCTGACCAGTGCACAAGGTTTACAGTTCAGCTTTACTCTTCAGAAACTACAGCCTGGAAATCACTGCTTTAGATACTGCCTTGGTTTTCGCAACATTGCATCATATCCACACACAGTGCCTGCCAGAGCCTTGGCAAGAGCCAGGGCAGCTTCGCAGGGAGTATTCCAGCAGCACTGGGGCAGGAGTTCCAGGAATCGTGCCTGCCAGCAGATAAAATGGTATTTGGAGTCATTTCCTTTGTAGAAACACCCAGGTACCCTCCTTTCTCAATCAGTAAATAAAAGCAGGAGGCACAGCGAAAGCATAGCATCTCCTCATGACAAGCCAAGGAAAATAACAGGAGGCGTTTGGGTTTCCAATCAGTTATGTACACAACTGGATTAGCCAGAGGGCCGTGCACCCGAGGCTCAGCGCTGCTTCTGCCCGGTTCCAGCGGAGCCATGAAGCACTCGCTGATGCTGGGCTGCCAAAGGCAAAGGAAATGCCAGCATTTGGCCCCAGTGCTCAGCACCTGCTGATAGAAGCTAATTTTTCCCCTCTCTCAGTTTCCAGAATTTACTCCTGCAAATCCCAGTGTAACATTACAGACCCAATCACACTGAAGTAAGCCTATTAAATTAAAATGAGGTGCACGTGGACAACAGTCCCTGCTCCACTGAGCATCGTTCTGACTGAATGGCTTGTTTCATAGTTTGTAAAACGCAGTTGGCAGGGGTTTGGTATTATTCTAGGAAATCCATAAAAGCAACATTTTTTTCTCTTAACATAACACTACCAAGAATATGGAGAGCAATTTTGCTTTTTATTTTTTAAAATAGACTATGAAAACACCTGTAGAGTGAGTCACCAGATCTTGAGTTTTCTTTTGAGAAGCTGTAAATCTTCAAAAGCAGAACCAACCATGAAGCAATTTCATCTGAAAGGAGACTGTCTGAAGCATTCTCTTAGAGCTTACTTGTAATAGGAGCTGCATCTCCCTTATTACTTCCAAATTAAATGCTGTAAGAACATAAACCTTGCCCCTGTAATCTTTGACCATTGATATCAATCCAGCTTAGTGGATGGCTATTGAGAGAAATTTAAGTCAGCAAAATTTGAGGGGCTAATTTGGGCTGAGTGGCAGTTTAGAGAAATTCCCAAGGCTGTTTTATGCAACTGCAACTAGTTGGGGGAGGGGAGGAAATGTCAACGGGGATATCGGATTCAGAATGCAATTTTAGAGGAGGAAGAAAGAGGAAAGAGATTTGCTAGATTGCTTTTTCTTGATTCAGATTAGAAAGCAAGTCTCTTCTATTCTCTCCTGTAGGAGTTGCTCTAGTTTCAGCAAATGACATGCATATTGGGCCAGGGTCAGATGGATAACCCTGTAAAACAGCAGAGACCAAAGCATCTGCTTGGGCTGCAGTGGGCTAGGATTCAACCCTGTGTTCAGACTTGGGACTCCAACCCAGGTCTCACATAGCCCAGTGCATTCACACTCTGGGTATTTTATCCGGGTTCCCTTTCCCCTCCTGTGTTGGATGAGACAAATCCAACATCTCAGGCTCTTTCAGTAGATAGAAGAACCACCTTCTTATGCAGCTCCTACTGCACAAAAATTTGGTCCTGCTGCTCCCGGTATCTTGGTCTGACTACAAAACAGGTCAAGCACAAACCAGTGGGCTATTTACATCTTGCTTAAACCTCTGAGGAACAACACAACATACAATGCTTGCTCAACCTCTCTGCTGGTGTACATGCTTTACCCTTCCTCAACAAGATTTAATCTGTTTAGGGTTAATAATGTAGCAGATATCAAACACCCCTTAAAAGGACGAAAGGCCAAACCCGTAATTGCAAGAGCAGAACCTCTGATTCACTGCAACCCATTTGTTATCAGCAATTAAACTTCTTGCTGATAAATGATTCATGATTTGAAAGATCAGATTCCTCATTTTTAACCACAGCAGAAATTCCCATGTGCTTATGAATGGCTAAGCTATGCACCCACCACGACTGCCTGGGAAGTCTGAATGTCTGTTTGAACAGTTGGCCATTTTACCCAAAATAAGAGCTCTTATATGCAAGATACTTCTTATTCACAGCTCATAGGAAAAAAAATAAAAATCAATTTCATCTTAATTTGACCGAAACAAATATAAACAAGCTGACTTCACTACTAAATACAAGCACTGAACATTTTCTTCCCTGGAGGCAACAGAATTACACCAGAGTAACTGAGATTCAAACCTGGCCTACTAATTAAACAGCCTTGGAAGTAAAGCTCCTAGATCATGGCATAACCTAGTTTACAGTAACTAAGACTCCTGTCAGCCACCTGATGTAATTGTTTATGGTATTCAGAACTGGATTTTTCAAAAAAAAAAAAAAAATAAAATAAAAAGAATCAGGCTATAAACCAGGTGAGTTGTGACCCTGTAACAGAAGTTAATGTATTCTCAAATACTTTATATCTGTGCATTAATACATGATTAGCCAAGAAAAAAAAAAATAATAATAAAATAAACAACAGAATCTTTAGTCCAAGAAGTAACTGACAAAAAGATTGAAGGGAAAAACAAAAATCCTTAATTTTAATGTTATTATGGTATAACCAGCTGTAAGGAATTACTGGTCTGAGGCACAGTGTGCAATTGTCCTATCCTAAACGTTTACGAAAGCCTGTAATTCAGAATGATACTGGAAAGTGATATCACTATTGGCAAGCTATGATTTCATTGATTTATTTTTTGTCTTTGAAAGAAGTCTGCATTTCTCAGCAATTAGCACAAACATAGCAACAGCCTACAGCTCAAGCATTTCTCGAGGCTATTTACCTTCTTTAGTGCCAGCTGCTTTGACTCAGATCAAAAAAACTGCAGTAAGTTCTGAACTATCATACTTGATAGTCTACCAGTAAGCAAAGGAATTCCTGTTTTGAATCCAATGGCATCAATATACATTACCTCTTAAACGGAGGGCAAAACACATGCTACCAAACGTGAGGACAGCTCGAAAGAGAGAACTATCATGACCTTCTCCAAAAGCACTGAACACAACATGAAGCAACTATGCTAACACAAAAGAAAAAAAAGTCAGAGACTTAATAAATTAAGCTACTTTCGCACTAGGATATTATGTACTATCAGGCAGCTGATTTTTTTTTTTTGAGCAAAGAGACTCATCAGGTGCCTAATAAGAGAACATACTTGGCACAGCTCCATCAGTGTTTAAATTTATATCATGGCTAACAAGCTGGCTCCCATACGAGACCAATCAGGCTGCCGGTATCCCAGATTACTCACTAATGGCTTCAGCAACTTCACAAACACCAAACATACAATGCCATTAACCGGGCAAGAGAAAGGACAAGGCTGTATGCGGAGTGGAGGCGAGATGCCATCCACCCCCTGAACAGCGCAGCGCTGAGCTTTCCATTAACTTGGCCTTCACCGAGCCTCCGAACTAGCAAAAGGAAATGAGACAGGCTGCTTGAGGAGCAAAAGGGAGATGTCAGAGCCAATGCTTGGTACCTCACTGCAAAAAGCTCTTCTGTCCTGAGTGCCCAGGCAGATGGATGCCGATCCCTGCAGAGCTGGACACCCCGCAGTGCCACCTGGCACGGCCGGACACTGGGCTGCCCGCAGCAAGATGAGGTGGTGAGGTGGGCATCCTACAGTGCCACGGCTCCTCCTGGACCACCATCGGCTGCAGGCACTCACTCAGATAACCCAGTGCAGGAGAAGTTGAACAAGGCTGATTAACAATAAGAGTAATTATCTTTTTTTAAAATTTATTTTTAGTTCAAAGTGAATCACAACTTCCTGCCCCTCCTTCTTCCCTGCTGTGAAGACATAAGTACCTCCAGATCAATGTCTTTTTTTTAAAGCATCAAGTGTAACACATCAGCTGCTGCTGCTAATACAGTTTTTACAGTGATGATTTTGGCTAAGAGATTGTTTATGCAACTCCTTAACGAACAAAAAGGAAATCTCCAACATACAAAAGCAGATAAACTTGTGGAATGTAAACATTAATGTACATAATTACTGCATTATCAGAAGTATTATGCATTTATCAAAGCAGTTCAACATAACACTTTCCAACAAATATCTCATATGGCCCAATCATAATTTTTAAGGGAGGCTGTATACCCTACAAGGGTAACTGTCTACCCCTAGAAGGTAATCACTCCTGCCTTACAGAGGCATTTGGCAGTATTGATGCCAGAAAAAGAGGGCTTAGTTTATTTTTACCCATGCTGTGTAGATTTTTGATACTTGGCTTAATTAACTCAATACATTCTACAAAGGTATGTAAACAGTCCTGATAGTGAGATTTAAATGAAATCAACAGATCTGGACTGGTCAATGCCAATGTCTTCATTAATTCAAATACCTTATTTATCCCTGAGCACCTTAATATTGTTTCCCCAAATCTCACTGAAGAACATGGAACTATTTCACAAGAATGTAAAACCGCATTTGGATAATCTGTGTCTTAGAAGTCCCACTATCCTTTGCTGGTTTAAAAAGAAAAAGTGTTCTCCCCTACCTCTCCTCCCCCCCCCCTTTTTTTTTTAAACATGTACTGCAATACCTTTAAAAAAAAAAAATCACCCTATCAAACAACACCTACAGACACACTACAGACTACAAAAATATTGCATAGGAGTGTCGGTGGGCATAGTCTCACAACATGAGAGAAAATGCTAAGTTTTCTTTAAAACATTACGGCAACGTTCTAATTTTTTTTCCTTTTAAAAATCTTGTAGTTTCACTTTATTTCAAAATTGTACAAAATGGCCATGGCTGTTTATAAAAAAAGTCTCTGTCTTGAGAATATGTGAAGTCTCAGGTGCATTAACAAAAGACCTGGAACGATTCACAGTGCAGCGGAAAGCTTCTTTTGAGGCAGACGTTACAACTCATCCTTCTTCTTTCCTACTCTCTCGTGGTCTCTTTCTCTAAGGGTTCGCATGAAAGTGGTGAATCCAGACTCCTGTTTTTGGGAAAAAAAAAAAAAAAAAAAAGAAAAACATGGGTCTTTTTTAAAAAAATCCACAATCAAAACTATGCATCAAGACCACTTTTAGCTTATGCATGGAAATTGGCAGAAAAGGACCAGTTATTGCTGCTGCACTGCCTCATCACGCAGTGCTCTGCTCCAGTGCTGCTCTGCTGAAACGTGAGGGGAAAAGTAACCAACACAGATTCCACATTCCAGAATTTTTCATGAGAAACTGTGAAGAAATGGGGGTACAAGGCCCTAAAACTCAGATGACAAGGTAAAATCTGTCCCCAGAAATGCTACCTATGCCTTTTTATTGAAAATGCTCAGACACTCTCATGCTTTATCTGTATACTACAAATATTTGTATGCACACGCATTTGTGTGGCATTTTGAAAGCTGTTATTGGATTGTTTGTTGGCCATATACACATTTGCTGTTGTTCCTCATCCCATAATAGTTTTGCTAATGATCCATACATCCAAATGAAGGGAATTACATATTTTCAAGTTACTATCAAAATTATGGTCAAACATTGAAATCCGGATGCCTAGACCTTTTTATTTTAACAGCTTAAAACTTCTGATTTTCTGAAGCTGTTGAATGCCTTCTTTTGCAAAATTAAAGGTGGTTCAAAAGGTGTTGTAACTGAAACAGATGTGTGAACAGACCTGGAAACTCCACAGAAAGCACTGTGCAAAGCACTGCCTCCAATGTTATCAACACAGGAGATAACTAAACCTAACTGGATCCTACAGAAGCAGAAGAGTACGGGACTGAGGAGAGGTGGAAAGGGAACACAGCTGTCAGCACCAGAGAGATTGCAATGTTCTTGTTGGCTAATTTAATTTTACCCAATAAAGGGTTGGCTGCATGCAAAAAGATTAGTCAGTCCACTTTCCAGCATGGGCATAACCATCTCCCAACTGTTGTGGCCTCAGACCACTCCTGTCTTGCTAAATTCATTTTTATCAGCCACCACAGATCCCTCCTTTCATGTATCATTTCCGGACACGTGGATAAGAAACACGAAGAAGATTGTGGCTGAAATTTTACTTAATTGTTGGCTACTGCACCCATCTTTACTTTTAAGAAAAGATCCACAATCTGAACTAAACGCAGTATCCATAACAACGCCTGGATCAGCTCCATAAAATGGTCATTACTGTGGTCCTAATGCTGGAAAAAATAAGGAGGTGAAGCTCCATGAAGAATTCCCTAAGATCCTGACTGACAAATAACCTCAGAATTTGGCTTTTTTTCCCTTCATGCTTCTCTATAATTTGGTGAGCTGTAACAGCAGCAATGACTTTCATGCAGGCTCTTGTAGCAAAACCACTGGATAGCTTGAAGACCCCAAGATTTTTTTTCTTGTAGACCCTAGCTTCTCTCAGCAATCAATCACTGCTGAGCAGTAACCTCTCTCCAGAAGCTCAGGACAAAGATGACATGCAAATAATTACATGGCTCCCTTATTTTGAGGCATTTTACAACCACAGAAGGCATTATGCCATTTCTGCCCATTGCACTCATAGCATACAATTATCCGGCCACAGCAGGACAAAAGAATGAAACTTCAGCCCATGGGCTAGATGGCACAATTGGTCTTTCCATCCTGAGTTCCAGGAGCGAATCTGATTCAGTGAGAATGAGACATTTAGCTTCCCTTGGTCTCCAAAGGACCGCTTTGTCCCTGCTATAAAAATGAATGGTCTGTCACCGTTTGGCTGCCTAGTGGAACTGAAGTATGTTTACAGTGTATGCATGATCCAGATCCAGAACTGACAGGAGCAAGATCTGTATTTTCTGACATTTCAGCACCTAGCTGCAGCCCATGTAATAAATCCCTTGCTTTCACTCAGTCCAAATTCACTTGCAGACTTCAGCTTAAAGAATAAAATATGTAACAAAGCATTACCAAATCTGCTCCTTTTTCCTCTTCTCACATTCCTAAAATAGACCAAGTACATTCGTAATACAGAGATGTACAGGGGCGTGGTACGCAATGATTCATCCATGTAAGTTAGTAACAGAAGCAGTTAAATATCCTTTCTGTAAGATAAAAATTTGCCCCGCAGTACTCATTTGCGAGGCAGTACTGGCAGAGGAGACCTTCCTCCCTTTATCAGGTGATGACTCCTGCTTTTACTCACCCCTCTTTCTCCCGTATATTTTTCCACAAATTTCCCGTAGTTGTAATAGTTGAAGGTGGGGTAGCCATCAACTCCCTCCTGCTTGCACAGGTCATGATTCTGTTCTTTGGCACAGTCCACTGCAGCGTAGGCGATCTGAAATGCAAGAGATCAGCGTGAGGCAGCAGAAGACAAAGGAAGACTCCACAGTCACGGTGCTGCTGCAGCTTAGAGCTAATGCTGGGAGAGACCTACGTCTTCTGCCAAAAATGCAACTGCTGTTGTGGTGGCTCAGCTGTGCAGGAAGATCAGAGGGTCATCATTGGGTCATGCCACACGAAGAGGAAAGCAGAAGTGGCTTCCTCCCAGTACAACACTGCAGTGCCCTCACAGCTGTGAGGTGGGTTCAGCTCCCAGCACACAGCATCGCCTCCTCACGAAGCTCTGCGCTAGACTCCAAGCAGGAAATCCAGAGGGTGCATTTGTTAAACCAAAATGAAGTCCAAGCATGGTGGTCACAGTGCTGTCACGCTGCAAGACTTTAAGTGCTAGGTGATGAACAGTGACAGGGTGACACTGATAACCGTAAGGACCCACCTAACCCAACCTCCTTCCTGTGACACAACCAGTGCCTGGAAACACTGCCTCATCTCTTCATGGACAGCCATGGAAGTTCACTCTTACAAGCTATTAAGATTCATGATTTTTACCCCTAATAGCTTTCAGGAACCATGTTCAGTTCTTCCAAGGACAATGGGGATGGGGGAGAGGCCAGAGCGTTGTCTACTAAGCAGTGCCTGTAGAGAAGTAGGTTGCTTACTTTTGCAATCCCTGCCTGCTTCATCTGTTCTCCCTGTCTTTTTTTGCCCCTCTTTTGATGTAGGGGCACGGTGTGCTACACACAGCCATTAGCAAAGTGGGCTTTAATTCCTTTTGAAACCTCTAGATGCTACTGTCACACAAACCAAGCATCAGGAGGAAGCAGCCTGCTCGCAGCAGAGCAACACCCTCCTCCCCTGCCTGCCTCAGGAGAGCACAGGGAAGTGCAACCCCACAGCCCCGGAGCGTCAGCTCGGGCTAACCCTAGTTTAGAGCATTTGACATTTGGAACCCGAACCTGTGAAGTGCTGAGAATGGGCTGTACTTAACATTTTTGATGTTAAAACAAAATGCAATTCACAGGCTTTTATTTCAAGCAGCAGAGCCCTCTGCTGTGATTTCACACTGGCTGTTCGCTGAGTGGCAGTTCTGGCTCCGAACGAACGCACGCTGCTGCGATGCAGGCTTGCCTTCACAGCCCCGTTACGGGCTTTGCTGAAAAGCAAGCAGTTTTAAGTACAAGCTATGAAAAAAAAAATTAGAAGAATAATTTTTGCAGCTATGGGTTACAAAGTATCAAGTACTAATTTCATAGCAGCCACATCTCATCTTCAAATTTCCATTACATGTGCCACTTTCAAACATCCAATCAAAATACCTTTTGCTTGCATGACTCTAGGGCTGCAGTTGAACTGTTCTTCCACAATTAAGAGATCACTTAATGCCCTCCAGTTTCATGGTGACACTGTCAAGACCCGATCTCATTACCCTAATAGCTATTGAAGAGATTGGCAAAGCCAACTTCGGGTGGTTTGCTTGTTTTGTTTTGGCTTTGAAATCCTGGTAAGACAATGTTCAGTAGGGTCTCACTTGGGTCTATGTAGTGCCTCCCATCTGACTATAAAGTGTGCAATATTCCTAAATAATTTGTTTTCACTTTTTAAACTTGAATAAGGCTATTAACAGAAGCAGGACTCTTGAGAGTTTCTATGAACACACCTTTTTTTTCCTCTTCTTGTAAACAGAAAGACTCCTACTCATTCAGGGCCAGCTAAAACAAAGGGTCAGGAATAATGCACTGCAAAGGAGTTTCATCTAAGTATTTATGTCTTCCTGACCTCAGCAGTCAGCCAAAATTTAGAGCCCTGTTGGCTACTTCTGTGTAAAGGAAAACTCACAATGGAGACAAACATTTATTTGATGTCACAGTATTAATTTACAAAAAATACTAGAAGTCTTGATTCACTGAAAGCAGGAAGAATAAATAAAACTACTTTTTTTTCCAACTGCTCTAAATATCACACAGGGAGAGACTAGAGCCAGAAAAAGTGGCAGGTATATGTGCACTCATCCAGATCTTCGTAGTCAGTCTGAGACATGGAACTGTCAACGACTGATGATGCATCTGTTCTTAGTTAAAACCTTGGAGATTAGGAAAGCTAGGTTTTAGAAGACTGGAAGTTATACTGTACCTCTCTGGAATCATCTAGAACAGCTTTGGTTGGAGGAAAGAGCCCAACTTCCTTTACAAAAGGCTTTTGGTGAGAATAACCTGCAGTGAGGAGCCAGCACGGTGGAGGAATACAGCCCTATAAACCACTTTTAACCTTGTTCAGCACACATTTATTTATTGCCTTAAATCAGATGACTGATGGGCTACAAGGAGGTGGCTTTTGAAAGAAATGCTTAGCGGTCTGATTGAGATACAGCACGTGGAAATCTAAGCTGCTCCATCTGCGTGCATTTGTCACACACTGATGTAAGGCACAAAGATCCCAGTCTAAGTCTGGCTGCAACAGTCACGTTACCCTAATGCAATGCCTTAACTCCATAGGTCTAACAGCAAGGGCTGTGTACACCTTGAGTAGTATTTGGAGAGTACGTCCGTGGTCCATCATTCTCTGGAGCACTCCTGATGCAAGCTCCCACAAAACCCCGTGGACTTGCTGCTGCTCCTGCAAACGTCATTTTGAGCCCAGCTCTTCAGATCATGCATTCCCGTTCAGTTATTTTTACAGCCAGTGAGAGAAGAGAAATGGAAATTTTCTGAAGACTTGTAACTCGTACAGACCCGCACAAAATTTCATAGAGACACATCTAATTCCCAAGACTGCATCCTGGGGCTGGATTTCAAATGCCTGCTGCCAACAGAAGCTGAGTAAGAGTACTTAGGAAAGCTTGAGTGATTACTTTAGAGTGGAAATGTTAAGGCAGCCTAAATATAGAGGTTGCTACCATCTCTATGCACTCATTACCATAGCATCACACTCCTAATTGTCTTGCCTGTCTCACAGAGGAAGATCAAATATAGTGCACTGCAGAAAGAGAACAGTAATGCTGGAAACCACTTGTAGCAAACCACACTTCTGGACTGAGGACCAACTCCATTCTATCAGTTTCAGACAAGTGAACTCCACAACACACCAGAACATCAGCAAACAGAACTGATGCCCCTTGCTCCATTCTGGTTGTGTTTTCATGGACTGTGAATATTAAACTCCATTTCTGACAGAGTAGTCTACTACAGCAGTTCTCAGTTAGGGTGAATCACCACCACACTGAAGTACTGCACATAGAAAGCAGCAGCCCACAAAAAGGAAGTCTTTGCTTGAGTTCTGGCCTAAGCGAGCAGTCATACATTGTGGCAATGTTTTCTTCTCAATCTTATCAACAATGAGTTTTTCTGTATCTGAGCAACTGAGTCGGGTAAAACAACCACCCTAAAAACTTCTACCAAAAACTGGTTCAAGACTTCAATGCCCTTCTCAAAAATTATGTTCAAATACAACTACCAACAGCCTGTTTGCATTACAGTTCACTGGAAAACATAGGGTAGAAACCCCAATATGCTTTGCCTTGTAAAAACAACTGTATTTAACCAGAAATTTCAGACAGATTAAACGTAAGACGTCCCAGATACGTATCCCAGGAACCAAGACACTTGACATCATCTCTCATGAATTACGAGGAAAAAAAAAAGTGAAAAATCTGTGAGCTCGAAACTCACCAGGAAGAGTTGGTGTAAGACTTTGGTATATATATGTTCATCATGGAAGAAAAAAGTCCAGCATAAAAGCTTTCAGAAGACAGGATTGATTTTATGGAGGTTTGATTGTTAGGGCTAAAATTTAATTTCTTGAGCTTTCCTAACTTTCCTGCAGCTGGAGGGAGAAATTCACTAAAACCCATTTTGAAATATAGGAGAAAAGCCCACTGTTTTATCTGCAACATGCACAAAACTCCACGGGGTTATGGATTCTCCATAACCCAAAGCTGCACTGCCTTAAATATCGACAACACGTCATTATACAGAAGTTCTTTCTCCAGAGGCAATGCCGTTCAGGTTTATCACCATCCTGTTCAGTAACTGCAGCAGGAACAAAACAGTTATTGAATGAAAAGGAAGTCAATCAGAGGACTGCGGACCTCAGAGGAAATTCCCTGGAATACACCTAGTTTTCTTGATGTCGTTGGTAGTTCCTTACAGCTAGCATGTAGCTTATAATAATTAATACCACCAGATTAGTATGCAGAACAGTAACAACATCGGGTTGGTTTGCGTTTGTCCTTTACTCCAGAGTCAGTATAATTTAGCACTGTAGCAACATCTAGGACTAGAAAATACCTTTATCTTAAAAGTAAAGTCCCACAGCAATGTTTTTTGGTTTTATCAAAGAAGTAGAAGCTTAATTGTAGAGTTGCAAACTGCACTCTGCACTGCATTTGAATGTGAGTAATGTACAACTAGCTCTAAAGAGCTCTTAAAAAAAGAAATGAGCGTGGCCTACTATTCAGATGAAGTGGTCTGATCAGGAATGCTCACCTGTTGCAAAAATCAGAACTTTTCATTTAGGTGCTTAAGTAGAAGAGGAGTTATGCTGAAAATGTGACCACTGAACTCTTCATGCTTCAAATGTAACAGAAGCATGATGCTTATTTTTCCCCCTCCATGAAAGTATCAGAAGAGAAAGAAGGATTTGCAGCACCATCTCATCAGGCAACAGCCAGCAGAGTTGCCTTCCAACAGAATTATGAAAGCAACTTTTTGTTCTAGAGGGATCTTGCAGCTAAGAAACAAGATTACATCCAGTGGTTCAAACAGATTTGTAGAAAATTGGAACTGGGATCCCTTGACCTCCCATGTAACTCCTCCTTTCTGTTCTTAAACCCCTTTCTTTTTAACAGTTTGTCTCCCAGCTATCACACAACGGTATAGTAAAAATATCTTCTGCAATCCCTGTCTCTCTCCTGTTAAAATATGTACTGCCATACACTGCTTTATTGATTCAATGAAATAAATCTCTGCTGGAGCTAATATTGACTTTTGTTATGAAAATGGAAGTGAATAACTAACTGAATATTGATTCAGTTAGTTATATTGAAAGGAATGATATATGATAAGCTTAAAAAAATTAAAATAAATGTAAGATTGCAGCATGGAAAAGAACGCTACTAAGCAATGGCTTTAAAGTATAGTCAATTCCAGATGACACTTACCTGATTATGAAAAAAAGTCTGTTGTTGCCAAATGTCTTAAAAGCACCTATGAGTAAGACAGATGCACATTCTTCTCTACGATTACTCCGTGGGTTTCTATTTATATTACCTGTTCTGGATCCTAACAGCAGTTATGAACTAGCCTGCTAAAGCTTGTTGAGATTCAGCTGCTGTTTTCAATGCAAATGGCCTTGCAAATGGATGATTCATTATTAGAGGTCCTGATGTACCACAGCAGCATTACCATGGCTGCAATTCATCAGCTATTCTCAAAGCGGGCCTATTTGCAAAGGGAAGATCCATTAGTAGTCACCAAGATGTACAATGCTAACATCACCATATTTAATGAGCCTAATTAAAAAGAAATTCAACACATCCTTTTTAAGTAAAGAGAGATCAAATTCTTGGCTAAACTCAAATATTAACTCATTTGGATGACTCTATACACTGATTTAGTAGGTATCATGATGTTGAACCACGGTTCAAACCTAAAAACGTGGCAACAAAGCCCATGCATGATACATATTGGGGACTTACCAGTTTCTCTGTAACTTGTAGCTCCCTGCAAGCACACCAACTCACCTCAGGAGCTGCAGTCTTTCCAGTAACCTCTGCTACTGCTGTTTCTATACAAACTCACTATATTCCAGCTGCTGTGCTCTGATCTAGGTCAATGCATTTGTACATGAGCTGCCTTCTGTGAAACTGGAGAAGATTGGTCAAACTGCAGCCCCTCTGGGGGAGTTCCAGAGATTTGTTACTAGGAGTTTGAGGAGTCAATAGCTTTCCTTCAGCTAATCCAAGCTGGAGCATTACAAATCAATTCCTTCAAGCTGAACTTTAGGATCAGCCAAAAGGCAGAATGCAGACTTTTTGAAGATTTAGCTGGTGCCCTTTCAAGAGTCTCCGGAGAAGTTAGTGCACGTGCCTTCCTGCTCTCCAGTCTGTTCAGCAAAGTGACAATACTCGCATTTGCATCTTCTGATGTGCACGGTCATTGCCAAAACTCTGACCGCGGAGCACAGGCCAAAGGCTTTCCCCTAGCAGCTGTATGCAAAGGCCACAGCTCCCCAAGGCAAGAACATTCCAGATGGCTGGTGATTTGTTTTTTTTTGTTTTTGTTTTTGTTTTTTTTTTTTTCCTTCCTTTCTTTTTAAATAGCTGAAAGCAATATGCTAACTGCTTCACTGGACGAGCCTCTCAACTCATCTGGTCTCATGGCACTGAGTGCCCCCGGTTACAAAAAGCCACGCAGACACACTGAGTGATGCCAGAGCCCTCCTTGGATACACCCAGAACTGTTCTGCCACAACAGCTGCCCCAGGCCAGCACACAGGCTCCATGTTCCTGCTGAAAACACCAGCAGTGATGTGGCCAACAGGAATTGACATTTGGGGCCAATGTTCTGAGCACTGCGTTTTTAAACTCTGACTCCAGCAGCGCAGATGATGAAAAAAGTACAGAGCATCGCACGCATCCCTGCAGGGGGGATCCTGCACCAAAATCACCCTGTTCCTGTGAATATTGAGAGCCAGAGACATGTTTTAAACAGCTTCAAGTTTTGCTCGTCTTCAAAATTCCCATGTAAAGACTCAAAGTTTCCCAAAGGACACCTGTTAAGATACCATTTATAACCATTCACAGCTGGAGTGATTTTGATTTTTCTTTGGCTTCTGCGGAATTGAATGTTTAATTAAAGGACCACCCCTACTGACAAGAAGATAGGGTTTAAATGCTACCATCCTCAGCTAAAGTAAAAATATATATATATCTTTCTCCAGGGGAAGGGAAAAAAAAAAAGCCACTATTACAGACTGAAAATGAAATTTAGTAATCTTTCCATGAAAGAAAAAACACTTCTTCCCTCCTCTTTAAGCATTTATTTTAGAGAAGTTTCAAGCCCTATGGAACTACAAATTAAAGAAATTCTAAAGCTCAACTGGTTTGAAATATGGGAATATGCCTCGTGCTGCTTATGGGAAGAGGCATGTGCCCTTCTGAAGTTTTAAACAGGTTTATTTTCTTTTCCACAAGGGCAAAAACTGGCAGCAAGAAACACCTTGACAGGTTATGGCTGTATGCAATTAAATAGTGTTCCCTAGATAATCAATCCCTGGCACTTTCATAAGTCACTAGGGTGGAATAACATCGTTTTCCCTAACTGCACACACCTCTCCGAAACTGTACCAGCCTTAATATTCCCTGCTGGCTCTCCTGTTCCAACTCATTACATTTTATACTTCCCCACTTCAGCCTTAAACTGAAATCAAGAACTGCAACCGTCAATCACTGCTCTGCTCCGAGTCCTTTCTTAACCTGCAGTCTAAACTGAAAGTTTCACAAGCCTGCATTTACCACCATCGTGATGTCCAATAAACTGCACGATGGTTCAGATCGGTTGCCAATACATCCTTCAGCTCTAAGAAGCAACTTTCACATTGTTTGGTACATCTGCTTCGTCTCCTCCAACTGAAATTTTAATGAACGTAGGAAAGAGCAGTTTTATTTAGTACTGCCAAGTAGGAAAACAAGGGTACATTCTTAGAGATCTCAGGAACAAACAGGTAAGCAAAAGGCATCTGAATACACAAATCTACAGCAGTAAGAGGACTGAAAGCTGAACAACTTTCAAACCTTCCATGTACAACCTGTGCCTGAGGGTGCGGGGGACTTCTCATGGGATGCATTCAGTGATGCAGGAACGATTTGTTTCTTGACAATCTGATGCCCCTTGTGTGAGTTACAGAAAAGACAATAGGAGAAGAAAAAAACACCATAGAAATTCTTTCCTTATGGTAGCAGGCAGATTAATAGGGGTATAACTGTTTCAGAATTACCTCTTCATTTCCCTATTAAATTGAAATCTTTTCCATGCTGCAGTGAAACACAAAGCAATCATGGTGTTAGAACAAATACTGAGATCAGAATGAAACACAGTTTAGTCAAAGATAAAAAGTGTCTAAGCAGATTTTTAAAGTAGTTAGTTGGTTAAGTCCAGTGGCTTTTCATATTTTTAATCTCAGACATGTATTCACTCAGTTTAAATGGCTTTTTTTTTTTTTTTTTTTTAAAATTCACATAAATTTACTGGCATGCTTCAACCATCAGATGAACTTTCAAGGCAGAAGCATGAGGGTCCTAGAAGGGCACAATATCCTGGGCTCAAGCCAGCCAACCAACAGAAATATATTACTGATCTTTGCTTGCATAAGTATGATTGAGGTTCTCAGGGCTGTCACAATACTTATGGTTTCTCTGCATGCACCCTGTTTATGCCTGACAAAAGTCGAAGGGGAATGGAGAAGGCATAAGCTATCTTTTATTAATCTTTCACTAAGAAATAACATGCTTTGCTTCACAGCTTCACAAGAATTCTTGCACAAAGAATTAATCAGAAAAGACAACAAATAAACGCAGAGAACAAGTGTAACTCAGTTTGACCAGAAAGATATAACCCATAAGATGCAGAGACATTTCTATTAGTTTAACATCAATTTTATCTGCAAGCCTGTCACCTGATCAATAAGCAAAGCCTGCAAAGCACAAATGGTGGGGAAAGTTCTTAAATATCTCAGAAATGATAAACAGCAAGTTACCTTTCGATCTTCTTTAAAGACTTCAGCGGCAGTTGTAAAATGTGGAATGGCATTTTTACAGTGTGGGCACCCTGTTTGACACAGGAAGAAAAAGACAGCATAAATGTTAGTTGTAAATAAGATACTGTGACAAACTCAAGACACAGAGGTGAACTAGGGGAAAGTTTTTGTTAAAAATAATTCTAGACTGGAGTTCTCCAGTTGTGGGATGAGCAGAGCAGGACTACGCATCTGTAGACCATGTGTCTCAGCCACGTAGACTCAAGCACGCATTTAAAATTCTTCCAACTGCAAGCAACACAAGCAGATCATAGAATCATAGAATATACTGAGTTGGAAGGGACCCTTAAGGATCATCAAGTCCAACTCTTGACACCGCACAGGTCGACCCAAAAGTTCAGACCATGTGACTAAGTGTGACTAAGATATTCACATTTAAGTGACATCCCATATAGGGACCAGGGGCTGGTTCCTACAACCAGTCACTTCAGAGCACTGAAAGATCACTAACCACAAACGAACAAACCACTTCCACGCTGTTGTACTTCCTCACGGGTATTACCACATCGGCTGTTACTGCTGTTGCCACAAATGCAGCTACATTTGGAGATGGGAATAAAGACAATGCAGTGGTGAACAGGAGGAGGCTGGAATTTGGAAAGGAAGTTGCTGGAATAAAAATTCTATATTAAAAACCAGGAGGAGCCTTTAGACACGTTTGGGAATTGCCGTTGTTAGAGCCAAGGCATTGGGATCACAAGGGAGGGGAAGAAGAGCAAGTCCAGCAGGCAACACATCACATATGGAGAGCAGAGTCCTGGCTTAGGATGACTGCTGCTGGCCGTCCTCAACTCTCCTTCCACCCTACCACAAAACAGACAACCCCAGAAGACTTTTAGACAGTGTGAAAGAGCCCCAAAGTGTTGTGTGGGAGCCTGGCTGACACTTGGTGATACCACAGCCACGTTGAACAAAGGGCCAGTTCGTCCCCTGCTTGAACGTACACTAAATATACTCAAACATTTCAAAAGAACACGTACCAAGAGGAACAGGAACTGCCTTCTTGATTCAAGATTCAGATTGGAGTGCTCTTAATTCAGAAGCAATGTTTATTGTCTGATTAATCTAAGCTACTCACAAAATATCAATACTATGGCTTTGAAAAAAGTACCCACATCTGTGAGTTTATTTTTCTCAAGTGTAGCATAAAGAAGTTGTTCCCAAGCAAACATTCAGGTTGCTTTTTCTGCTCAGATGCAAGAAAAAAAGTAATGGATGCACTTCTCTCAAACCCATATAACTAAAAAAGCACAAGAGTTCATCGTGGTATTATTTCTGGATAAGAACAGAACAAAGCACAATGAATTGCTCACAAGCTTCAATTATAGCTTACGGTGCTGTTGTTCATCACTGTAAAACACTGGTAAATAAGCGGCTGCATTGTTTTTTAGTCAGTGCTGAACAAACGCCCTCTGAGGCTCAAAGCCACTGTCTCAAACTGCACTCACTCTTTTGGGTGACAAGAAAAACAGCACCCGTGCATGAACTCTGCGCATCCCTTCTCACAAAGGAAAAGCTGCACACTCCTTTCATCTTGACCAAAAGGCAATTTCGTTCCTTCCAGGCACTGCTTTTAATTTTTCTTCTTCTTCATAATGGGATGTGTATAAACGCCACCGAGAGTTTATGCAGTAACTAACAGCACCAAAAAGTCAAAGGAAAATTTCCTGGGAAACTGAGGCATTTCTTCAAATCCACCTCACCAGCCTCAAACCCTCTACGCAGCATGACGGCATCTGCCTGAAGGCAGCTGTGTTTCAGAGGGACACAGTGCACATCCTCCACAGCTTGCAAATATTAACTTCGTTGAGCAGTTTGACATTAGTCAGGGAGAAAACAGTCAGAAAAGGAAAGGAAGAGGAGGATATTAGTGCCCCAGGCTGCCAGGCACTGCTCCCGTGTCCAGAAGCCCACGTCAGTGACCCATTTTCTCTCCCACCATTTGCCTGTCCTGTCTGCCTGAGACTGACAAACCTTCAGGTCAAGTCTGTCTCTTGACGCATCTTGGCTAATGTCCTGTGCTGTGGGGTGAAAGCCTTGGTTGGCCCATTAACATTGCTGTACAGAAATAAATCAGAACGGGTGACGCTATCTAAAAATAATTTCAGAGACCAAAAAAAACGTGAAAATCAGACAGCCTTAGAACAGGAACGCTCACTGCAATCTACACGTTCACATCCTGCAGTTTACTGCAAAGCAAGGTACCCAACTGTTTCACTATAACAAAGACTCCTAAGAACTTGAAACTTTTTGGGTCCCCCTTTCTGCTCATCATCTTGAGCTTGGAATTTAAATTTCACCAAACAACAACTTTCAAACCCTCAGTAAAAGATATTTCTTTTATTGTGATACATCAGTAGATATTGTTCGCACCTCACATGTGCTGGACAAGTGGAGGATGGGGCTTTTGGTAAGGACTCACTCTAAGCTCCCTCTAAAGTTGCAGCAGTAAGAGCTCTCCATGAGCCACGCTCTTCAAGAAGATCAGAACATGAAACAACAAATACCAAGCATAGTCTTTCAGACACAGAAAGTGGCTATTGAAAATGAAAGCTGCCCTTTTACAGGGGCCAACATACAGCTGGTAAGAAAAAAGCCCTTGTGGGAGTTTAGCTGGTGACTGCATGGTGTTCAATAGGTGGCACTAAGAAGGGCAGTGAGCATGGTTCTCTGCAAAGATGCATACTTAAAAGGCTAAAAGGGAGCATCCAATTATCCAGACTGTAACATTTTTTTGAAAAAGGTAGGCAAAACAAAACCTGCCTTGAGGTTATGGTCAACAGCATCATACAAAGGAGATGAGTGCCATGTAATTAAAAAAAAAATATATCTATGCTTACAGTTTTCATTTCCTCTTTTTGTAATCATCTCATCTTCCCACTCTAATACGAAAGGAAAAAAAAATACCTTCATTTAGTGATCTGAAGCTCCATCCCTCTTCTCCACTCCCTTCTCTTCTCTCTTGGCCCAACCTGCTTTCTTTACTGCACTGTGCTTGCAAAACGAAAACACAACCATATGGCTTTTGGCGGAGCTAACTCCAAGTCCAGTAGGCATTTTGTTAGCCTTGGACATCCATCCATGGAACAGATGTGAATATTGTGCTGAATTCCCAAGGAGCTTCAAGGAGTCACCAAAAAAAGGGGGAAGGAGCATATCATATGGAACAGCAGAACTTCATCTGTTACAACTTAGAAGGATTGCCAAATGTAGCAAACACTTGGAAGTCACCCAACCCAGTCATTCTATTTAAAGCACACATGCCAAAAAAAATAAAAGCAGAGGTTGATGTCTTCATTTTGACAGACGGAAAACTTGTTCTCCCCATTCCCTTTTCACACCCACTATCACACATTTATTTTAAGTGTTAACACTATCTTCCAGATTTGAAAGTGAAAAGAAAGGGAATGTACTGAGCGCTGTACACGAGGATACGAAAGCGTGTGGACTCCTTAGAAAGGATTTTCCAGATGGGCTGTAGCGGAAAGAGATTAAACTGGTGGCATCTGAAGGTGTGGGTAAGGTGTCGAGAATCAAAAGGTCCTACTCCCTTCTTAGTAGTATTTATAGGACAGCAAGTCACTACAGACTAAAGAAATAGGAAGATTTATTACATTTTACTTGATTAATTTGGGTGCTACAGTAGAAGCACAGGCTTCCTACAAGGCTGAGAGGTGGATTTTCAATTGATCAGCATTGGAAATAGCACATCTGGCAGCAGAGACCTCTAACATAGGTGCAGGGCTTCGCTTTACCCATTTCTGTGTTTGTTTCTACATCATTATCAAATCTGATCTCGACGGGGTTAACAGCATACACAAACTGAGCAGTAATTTCCTGTGCGACTTGAGACATCTGTAAGAAATCTGCTTCTGGAATATCCACCCCTTTGATGGGATCCCAGCATTGGTCCTTAAAACTTTTTAACTGTTTCTGAAAGCCCTGAGCTAACTTCATTTCCTAATGCAGGAACACACTTGCATCACCTGGCAGGCAAGCAAGAAAGCTCCAAGCCTAACGCACATGCAGTAGCATGCGTTAAGGCTGTTCTCTGTTCCTGATCGGTAAATGACACAACCGTATTACAACCCCGTCCAGCTGTTCTCACCTCTCTGAGCTCAAAATCTTGCACTCTAGAGGCCCTTCCACACAGCCACAGCGCTATCTGCTCTGCCTGACCACTGGAGCCTGCCAGACGAGACTGCCTGTTAAACCACACATCCATGGATCCACGCGAGAACACCTGCAGAGGGACTCCTCCCTTCTCTTTGCCTTTGCACTACCAGGTTAAAATCTTACACCAACCCAGTATTTTCCACAGTTTATTTTTTCTTCAGTATTCATGCTGTCAAGTTGGTCTGGGAAGACACTGCAGTACAGTCACGTGGGCAGTCACATCGCTGACCTTAAAAACCAAGTAGTTCTCGATAGATCTGGTACATGAAAAATACGGCTTCTGTAGGTAAAAATTCAAGAGGAATGGCTGATGAGTGGCAAACGAGGGAAATCAAGCAGGCAAGCAGCTTTTATGCAGACCCATGGTCACTGAGGGGCTGGCACAGGAGCCAGATTACATCTCTAATTAGTGAGACGTTTAAAGGAAAGCTAGTGCTTTGCTGGGGAGATGAAGGGGGAAGCATACAACCCAGCTTATTTTGTGCCGACTGAATTTGCTGATAGCAGGAACATGGTACAGTGTAGTTTGTGTATATTTGAGGAAAGAATGAGCGAGCTGGATGTGGTTTGTGGACACAAAGGCATTGGAGAAACCAGCACAAGCAGGATTAATCCTTGTGGAAACACAGGACTGAAGAAGTGAATGACCACAGGGTTGAGCTGGATGCTGTTTCCAACACAATGTCACAAGAAGTTGGCAACCGACGTAGAACCAAGACATCGCATAGGAAACAGAAAAATGTACTAAGTGCTCGTGCCACCTTGCAAACTTTTCTTTTTTCTTAAACAAAAAGCAGACTGGGGAAAAACGATATAAAATCATTTGTCAGCTAAG